TCGGTCAAGGCGTAAGCTGTCAACACGCTAGCGGTTCGGAGCCCTAGGCTCAGCCTCACCCTGTTCACAGGGTGAACGGTCCTGGGGCATCTTCTCCTCTGCAAAACGTGTTGTTCCCTGCTCCTTGTCGAGACGCAGAGCGTCTAGGTGAGGTGTGGGTTCGAATAACGAACAGGACAAAAGGCAATATACAATGCTCCATTTGGCAACCAATTTTATTGTCTTCGCTATCTTTTCATTATTCTGTGAGCGCTGCTAAGAGAAGAAAATGGCTTGCTAGAGTACCATCACCTGTATCAAAGTTTAAACGTTAATTTGAACGATTATGTTGTTTTATCACGTGTATTTTAGTCTTTTGAGAATCTTATGAACTGAAGCGCTATCTCGAGCATCATAGAGGTAATATTCACATGAACTATTTAGATAAGCGTTTGCTGTGTAGATAGCGTCTTCCGAAGTGTGTATTCTTCAACGGGCAACATAGGAACCATGAAGCAGTGGGTGCTTCTCTTCCCACATGAAGATTGCGACTAAAGGCTGGGTTTTGACGTTTAGACGATTCGTTATATTCCCGAGATTTTGATTTGATCACCTTCCTCCACGCATGTGGTGGCTTGGAACAGGGCCATATCGCTCCATAGGACCAGGGCCACGGCCGCCCATCATGGGGCCAGCGCCACCTCGGCCGCCCATCATGGGGCCATTGTTGTTATAAATACCACTAAGTTCGGGGCCGTTAGCAGGCGCCGGCTGAACATGCGCGTAATGGCAGTTGCCGCCGTGTTTGCAACCCATTGGTGAGGCAAAAAACCTGCAAGGCAGCGTGCCTCGGTTCTTCTTTGACGGCCGCTTGGCAGCGTCAGGCATCATGCCGTTCTGCGGAGCGCCCATGGCATCCGCTTTCCGCTTTCCAGGAATAAAGGGCACACCAGGCGGGCCTTGTTGAAGCGGATACTGCTGTTGATACTGGCGATCATAGTTCGCGCCAGGACCCATCTCTCCATACTGTTGTTGACTACCGTAAGGACTATACGCAGGCGGAACGCCAGCATTAGGTGGCACTTGAAAGCGTCCACGACGATACTGATCCACAATTTCAAACACACGCGCATCTGGAATATGATTGCCGTGACGCTGTGCCTCCTCGAGCACCTGCGGCACGACGTCTGGGTTGTCCATCAATAGCGCAACTGTGTTCTCCTGTAGCGGACCAAGAGCCTCACGCAGCTTACGATCTGCTTCGGGGTCTTGACGAGCATTGTACTCACTACGATCGTTAAAACCACGCTGACCACCATAGCCAGTCTGGCCATAAGGATATCCCTCTGAGGTTGGTGGTGCCATAGAAGTCGGAAGAGGCTGGTTACTAGGCTCACTTTCGACAACATCACTCAATGGAATCTCCAATGGTGGTCCGCGGTGAGGCTCATTCACTCGTTCCCACTCCTTAGGACTCTGAATAGGCATCTCGCCAGCTAACACCTCATACTCATCCACATGACGACGACGACTGTCCTGGACATGCATCTCGTCCGTAATAGTGTTGCTATTCACTCGCGCTGCCACCGCTTCGGGCAGACGAATAAATGCAGGCGTAGTCCACTCACGCGAGTGAGCAGCAGCCACTGCTGGCGGTACCTTGTGGTGTTGAGCAAGCAACGCATGTCGCTCGTTAGCGTGTTCACGGAGTTTAGCATCCTTGAAGGACTGGTCTTCGTGCAGAGGGTCGTGCGGCACAAGATCCCGCCACGACTCGATAAGTTTCACCTTCACGAGCTCCTCTCCGCTTTCATCTGCCCAGCGAATGCGCTTGCGTTCTTTTGACGACGAGCTCAACGTTGCAGCGGCTTTAAAGCTCTGGATCGTAGGAAGAGGCATGGACAGCGTATCATCAACGCTACTTGTGGTGGTGGTGCTCTCGTTACTGGACGTTGACGGAGACTCGTCAATCTTCACGTCTTCGGACTTGTTACTATCGACACTCTTACTCTTCTTTTTAGCTTGGGCAGCAGCGTCCTTTGCTGACTTTCGTTGCATGAGGTTCCCAATCAGGTCACTGGACTTGGAAACTGCACTGCCACCACCAAACGGTAGTCGCTCTAAGCGCTTGATCGTTCGCTTCTTCAAGACCTTCGACTGCTTCACCGGCACAGGCTTCGCTGAAGTAGAAGGAGCCGAAGGTGTCGACTTAGTGGCATGCGTTGAAGAGGGCAGGTTGGAAGAGTCCTGGACCTTCTCTTTCGGCGCCGACGAAGGCGACGAGGACTTCTCTTTCTCAGTAAACTTGCTACGCCAAAACTTGAGAAGATCCTGAGCAGCACGCTTGACTCGCTCATCGCGAGCATTCTTGCGCAACTTGACAATGGGCTCATTGATACGTGCTTCCGTAATACTAGTTAATTGCAACGGTAGAGTCTGCAGCACTTCTAAGAGCAGAACCAGTAGGTCATTGTGTTGCCAGGTGACGGCTGACTCGACCCAAGCACGTGCAAGACGCAGGCCGCCACTCTTCTCAAAGGTAGCAGCACAGGCGTGAGATAGCTTGGTGTCACTTGCAGTGGAAGTGGCACGGAGCACCACTAACCCCAGCGTTTGCTCTGGCTCAGTTTTGCAACGGGGTAGAACCTTGAGGAAGATCGGGAGGTTAGAGATTGAAGACACGCGAAGCTCGCCGTCCACAAGGGACAGCAAGGAAGCCTCGGCACTTGACGGCGTCAACTTGGAGCTGTTACTACGGCTCATCATGTTTTGAAGTACGTTAGGGACCTGGAAGCAAGATGACACAGTCAGCACAAGATACCATAACACTCAGGGGGGTGTACACAGTAGACTCACCGATTGGTCTGCAGGAAGCTTTACTGGAGCTGGAGTTGGGGCTTGCTGCACTGGCTGCTGCTTCATGAACTGCGGAGCTCCAATAGACATCGGCTGTGACACCATGCCTTGGAGTGTGTACGCCGGTGTGGCTTGGTGGCTTGCGTGCATCAGCGGCTGCTGCAACGCTCCGCCGAACTGCGCTTGATCAAGCAAGCTCGTGAAGCTGGCTCGTTCCATGTTGACGTTCATCTTCTACATATCCAGACACATTTGCACATGCAACAAGTGAGTCATCTTACAAGCTTCCAAACTGCTGTGCTATGTGGGCTGCCTAGTGCCAAGATCCACACACTTGACTTGTCATCTCCACCATTAAACCTCTCCCAGCTGAATTGACGATCCACCACTCTCCATCATGAGATCGGTGAGCTCGAGAGCCGGAGGCTACCGTCATTGCTACCAAGGGCTCCACCAGAGCCCAATAACAGCATCAACCATTTTAACCATCAAGTGTTCTACTTCTCTCAAGAAATGATAGTAGCAGTGAACACATTTGCTTCGAGATGTCCCTAAAAAGGGTGGGAGAGGCCGGAGAGATGCAAGTGCGTCGTGGCGGTGCCGTGGCAGTGTGTACGGAAGGCACTGAAGCCTCATCGTACACGGCAGCAGCCTAGTAACTTAACTCTAATAATTAAACTGTAATATTTACCTTGGACAATGGGTTGATATGTGCGATGCTGGGCGTTCTGAGCCCCCGTTAGACGACGCAAAGGAAAGCGATCACCAAACAGCGCGCCGAGAAACGAT